AAAAATTATCGTTTCACTGTCATTTTTACAGTCTAAACAGCACCATAGTTAAGTTTTTAGGTCATTTTATAAAGTAGATAAAAATCAAGTCAACCTATCAGAACGGGGTTAAATCTACCTTTTAACTTTTATTGATATATGTGGTTACAGCTTGGGTTGGTTTTTATAAACAATAAAGGAGAAATAAGTTATTGATTTTCATGCCATTATAATAACAATTTATATAATTCATACCCAATAGTAGCCTGTTTTATCAAAGTGATTAGGATATAACATATTTCTATTGGAGATTCTTAAAGAATTGATTTATCAAAACAAATGAAATGAATAAGTATTACAAAAATAAGTTTCTTTTATTTTATCGTAGGCTTTAGTGGTAACTATAAATACAATTTTTCCCATACTTAAATGTGAAAATTTTGAAAATAACTGAAGTGGGATGATATTAAAGTATAAGTTAAGTAAAATATTACCAGAGGGTTTAAAAATTATGATAACAGAAATACTGAAAATAATGAACAGCATATTTAGTCAATAAGAACAATAGAAAGTCTAGATGATTGAGATGAACTGTAGGAATCCACTTATTTTTATTTCCAGATTTCGCGTTTTTCATGAAAGTAATTAATCTTCGTATGTACGGGTATATTAATATTGCTTCATTAGGCTTACACAAATTATCAAAATACTTATCTGTTTTACTACTGACATATATTAATGAACGTTATTATAAGAGAAGCGGAATTTTTAAAAAAAGACGGACATTCTGTACAAAATTAAAAACCTAAACGTTTAATTTTATCTGCGTATGGTTGTAGCTATTTTCAGAAGACCAAATGAAGTTCGTGTTTTTTACAACGTAAACTTAATGAAATTCGACTTTTAAATAATGTATGGATGTTAGCACTACATATGGCTTAACTAAGGTAACTGCAGTATTTTGCAGTTGATAGGGTAACAGTTTCAGGTATATTTACCACGACTTGGTTGCGACGAATTACAAACATCATCATCCCCTACAATTTGCATGTAAATCATATCATGTTTCGAAGCACACTATCACTTCCCAAATACACATGTGATTTAATTATAATAAAATCACTAAAATATTTTCCTCCATAAAATCCATATTCCAGTAATATTCATTCCGATTATTACATCATCACCATCATCATCATCATCATCATCATCATCATCATCATCATCATCATCATCATCATCATCATCATCATCATCATCATCATCATCATCATCATCATCATCATCATCATCATCATCATCATCATCATCATCATCATCATCATCATCATCATCATCATCATCATCATCATCATCATCATCATCATCATCATCATCATCATCATCATCATCATCATCATCATCATCATCATCATCATCATCATCATCATCATCATCATCATCATCATCATCATCATCATCATCATCATCATCATCATCATCATCATCATCATCATCATCATCATCATCATCATCATCATCATCATCATCATCATCATCATCATCATCATCATCATCATCATCATCATCATCATCATCATCATCATCATCATCATCATCATCATCATCATCATCATCATCATCATCATCATCATCATCATCATCATCATCATCATCATCATCTCATCATCATCATCATCATCATCATCATCATCATCATCATCATCATCATCATCATCATCATCATCATCATCATCATCATCATCATCATCATCATCATCATCATCATCATCATCATCATCATCATCATCATCATCATCATCATCATCATCATCATCATCATCATCATCATCATCATCATCATCATCATCATCATCATCATCATCATCATCATCATCATCATCATCATCATCATCATCATCATCATCATCATCATCATCATCATCATCATCATCATCATCATCATCATCATCATCATCATCATCATCATCATCATCATCATCATCATCATCATCATCATCATCATCATCATCATCATCATCATCATCATCATCATCATCATCATCATCATCATCATCATCATCATCATCATCATCATCATCATCATCATCATCATCATCATCATCATCATCATCATCATCATCATCATCATCATCATCATCATCATCATCATCATCATCATCATCATCATCATCATCATCATCATCATCATCATCATCATCATCATCATCATCATCATCATCATCATCATCATCATCATCATCATCATCATCATCATCATCATCATCATCATCATCATCATCATCATCATCATCATCATCATCATCATCATCATCATCATCATCATCATCATCATCATCATCATCATCATCATCATCATCATCATCATCATCATCATCATCATCATCATCATCATCATCATCATCATCATCATCATCATCATCATCATCATCATCATCATCATCATCATCATCATCATCATCATCATCATCATCATCATCATCATCATCATCATCATCATCATCATCATCATCATCATCATCATCATCATCATCATCATCATCATCATCATCATCATCATCATCATCATCATCATCATCATCATCATCATCATCATCATCATCATCATCATCATCATCATCATCATCATCATCATCATCATCATTCGATATTTCACTGTTGATCCGATATTAACTGGATGGGAATTTTTCACACTAAATATGGTGTTTTATTCAGAACGTTCTCATCATATTCCTCTTGTTGACAATGTTTGAAAGTTAATCACAGTCATTCAACCACGGTGCACCTACTGTTATAGAAAGAAACTGTTCAGATATGGTGATATACGTGATTAAGTTTCATCTCAAAATATATTGAAATTAATGTTGCGTTTCGATGGGAAATTACGCAGTTGTTGTTGAGTGGAATCTTTTTGATGAATATCAACGTTAGTTCTATCGAAGCGTCCAACTACATGATTGATATACGCGTGAAATCATAGTTCAAGAGCACATAGATTTGTCTAAAGAATGGTTATTTGTGGAGCACAAATATAAATTGTTCACAATGTCGACTCGTGGGGTATCTGGAGTAATTAAGATGTCTGTATACCTGGAAATTTAAAGACTTCCTTTAATAATAGGATGTAGCGTAATTACAACATACCATAGCGTAAATGACGGCTGATAATTACATCGAATGTTAACAACGGTTTATTAACAGCCAAAATGTGAACTATCGAGCACACAAATCCGGGAACTGTAGCGTATAAACAAAGATCAAAGGAATTTAAAAAACTGAGAATAACTTTCATAGAAGTTTAGAGGAAGGAATTGTAATAGTAAATACAGGTAATGTTATAGGTGTAGGTAAAAGCTTTTGGACATAACATAACAAATAAACTTGCGTTACACTATACGCCTACAAATTGTTAGCAATAGAACTGCTTACTGAATCAAGTTAACATTTATAAGTAATCGCAACATTTACAAACCTCATCAATTTATCTTACTAACATTTCAAGTCTCATGATTAGCAGAAAGTTTATTCACTTATTGATTATGCATATATATAGAGCTTCATTCGATATTAGTAACTCTACATAAAAAGACCCATTTAACTTAAATGAGAATCATGTTTCATAGAAACCTAAATGATGTTGAGAATTGAATTCTTGCTAATTGACTGGGCGGTGGTTTGGTTACACTGGGAAATAAAAGCTGTATTTTATTGTGGTTACGTGATTATCCTTGAATTAGGAGTCTTAAACTGGGACGAAATAACTGTTCATTGTTTCCTGGTCTTTAGTGGTATCTCAGACTTACTTTAAAATTGTAAGAGAGCTTCTCGAAAATTAGCTTCAAAAAGATTTCGGTCGGTAAATCCCAATCAGCACGAAAGGCAGGACCACATGATGACGGTTACAGTCCGGTAGACGAATAATGGAATTAATCAAATCCTACAGGTGGCCAAAATAAATATATGGAGGCAATTTTGAATGGAATAAGCATTAGTGAAATATCTAGTATTCAGAAAACTACAAGTTCCATCAAATATGACTGAGGTCATGGTGATGAGTAATAATTACCATAAAAGCTAGGTTTAAGAATTTCTGACTAAAGCCTGGAATCACCAAGCAATGAATTTCCAGCTACGTAATTTTTTATTCACTCATTGGCTACTTAATAATTAATTAAGTAGGAAAGAACATAATGACATTATTGGCTGGAATTTTGTTAGATCAATGGGATTAATTTTCACATGTGCACTCTTGTATACCTTTTTTAGACTATCAAATAAAATAAGAGGTTTTCTAAGAGTCCACCATCTGTTAATATTAGGTATATCAAATTTATGTTCTGATCATAGTACTACGCCTGCATTTATTCAGTTATTTTAGAGCTATTTTACCGTGATTTTCTTGTTAGCAATTGTTGAGTTTACTCTGTCAAATGTGAAGACTTCACGAAGCAGTAAAGTATTGGAAAAGGCTTTATAGTACACGGGAACTCTGTTTAAAACAATATAACTATAATATCAACGCAATGAATTAGCTAACTGTCCCGTGGTGTAAGATATTTTATCAAACTTTGTTAAACGAACTGTTCAACTAAGTCACATCATTCTATTCCAACTTACTAACTCTACCCTACAGGAATAATATTATAAATATCTAGTGGATAGATCAATTTCTGGAAATCATCAAAATGAACAGCAAGGAAAGCTTTAGTTTGGAATCCTGAATATTAAAGTAAAAGAGGGAGACCAAAAAAACACTACCCTGGGAATTAGCGCCAGACATCAAAAGAACGAATAGAAATTGGCAATAACTGAGAAGGAAAAGTGAGGGCAGAGTCGATTGCAAATGTCTGTCCGGGGGCCTATGTTTTACAACGGGCAACAGGCGTAAGAAAATAAGCCATTTAATGGACGGTAAAAATTGTAACTTAGCTGTGAAGTTATGTCCACGTCGCCTAATACTTATATTTGAAAAACGAGAATCCACTATAATTCCCCAGATAAAAAGTAAGAACACTAAGATTGGTACAAGTGAAAATTTATTAACTCTAAAAAGCGATGACCCTAGTCAAAAATACAGTCATTTATATATTGATTGCACATTCATTTTGATTATTAATTAGAATAAAATCACATACATCAAAAATACCCAGACTTATGACAAATCACATGCTGCATATCATGCTGAGCATAGTTCATATTAGTTGATTGCAAAAACATTGTATCTTGAGTAACCAACACACTGAACTAAAGCGATTTATGGTGATTAAAATAGTACACCGTAAGTAAAACTAATATTACAGTTGATAACCATAGTATTGAATTAAAAACGGAAGTGATGTTGAAAAAGTGTTATAATGAGTTCAAAACGTAATTTCTGCTTCCCATCCCGTCATATTAAAAGCGTATAAAGGCTTTCGTTCGAGGTATTTTATATTCAGTATGATGGAGTGCGGATCTTTAGAAATATCCGATTACATCTGTATGATTAATCCTCAGTAGTGTTACCCAGTCACCAATTATAGATATAAATACCTTTTATGTGAATCTTGTGCTATCGCTATATACAACCATTAATTACATTTAAGACAAAATGGGATTGTTGTCGTTTTTACAAAAAGAATTGTTTTTATCTTGTATACCTTAGGTACATTGCATGAAAAGCTTATAAGACCCACTGATAGCCAGATATCAAAAGTGAATTCATAATCCACGATATGATTGAAAAGAGTGAAAATCCAATCACACATCCACTATACTGCAAGAAAAGTGATTATATACTGATTACTTTTAGAAACAACTTGATGACATATTTGCTACAGTACACTGTTAACAGAGATCCTATGTCGTTGTTTTTATTTATCTGAATGATATGTTCATCTGGATTAGTATTACAGAAGAAATATACATTTGGACTGATGATGCACAGATCTAAGATAAGTGCAATCATCACTACGTTTAGCACTTTTTGCGTCACTGATTTACATTAATATCACAAGACAACAGAAACCACAAATTGTTTCAACAAGTTAAATCTGTAATGAAGAACTACTGACTAGTGGAACGGTATTATAGATCTAACCAGTAAAATCATCCAGACCATGTTGTAGAAAGGATCGAAATTTCACAAAACAAAAATCTTCAATGTCAATTTTTAATTGATACGACCATTTCCAACCATTCGTCATTATTCATTTATAACTGTTCTTTAAGATCTTTTCTCTGACTGGGCTCCTTTATGTAGGCAGAAGCTACATAAATTCATCGTATGACATTAATAGGTTAGCTATCCCATATGTCATAAGAGTAAACGCCTTGAAGAACATTGTCCGGCATATGATTTTGAGATGGTGGAGCTACAAATCTTCTCCACCATCTCAAAATCATATGAGCGTAATACGCTTCTCGTTGTTCGAAAATAGGAGGAAGAGGCTCAATAAGCTCAGTAATCGAGCACCTTGTGAACACAGGTCACTCAATCAAGACATTTACAAGGTAAGTAAAAGTCTCCCCAAAACAATTAGACTGCATCTTCTTTGCATTGCCGAAGCTTTAGCGATACACCTAGAAAGACCAGAATTGTGTGTGCAAAAGCGACTGGTACAACCTCTTCTTCTACTATGGTCCTGATGTCTTATATTTTTCTCTTCATACTCTTCCTTTACGACTATCTGCTTCACCCTCCAGCTTTCCCTTAAATTTTCTACCCCCAACCGGTTCATTTTGTCTCCACGATCATCCTCATTACATTTAATCTAAATTTTAATATTTATCTTATCATGCTGAGCTATCCTTTCCCAATGGTAATTTCCCTATGTATCCTTTGATGAATACTTAAGCCATTAACAATCAAACGATTATTAAACTTTCCTTGTTTTTAAAAGAATTTTTTAATAACTTTGTTTATTTAACCTCACTGTCAACATGCCTAACAGAAGTTTATTATCATCCTGTTAAAATAAGTATATATATTTGCGATTGTATAGCTTTGAAAATGAATTCGCCGAAAAGGGGACTCTTCACTGAACTAATCTTTTTTAATTAATGTCTTAATGGGTATAATCCGTTTATTAAAAAAATTTGTCTTTATCAAAGTTATCTTCAAAAGTGTTTACCATCATATCTGAATAGATTTAATTTATTTTTTATATATAAGGGGGACACTGCGATAAGTGATATTATCATTATCAGTGATTTAATTAATCCTTCTTACGTAGTGTATATAGGTTTTAGATACAAATTAAGTTTGAAATGACGATGCCTAAAAAAGTTTTCATTGTACGAAAGAATAAAATTTAAAAAATATGAAAAAAAAACGATCAAACACTTTGTATCCCCTGCAACTGAATATACACCAATATACAATAATAAATTCATAAACCTCATATTGGGAAATATGTAGTATTTTGTAAAGAAAACAATATTTCTCTATATTTCCAATGTTCATATTGGGAAAATATTTGAAAATAAAAACAATGAACATGGTATTTTCAGCTTATTTCATAACATAATATACAAACGGAAACTAGCTCAAATTTTTATATCATGAGACAAGTAAGCAAAGGAAACGCAAAATATACTGTACAGTAAGATGCAGAATAATTAAAGGAAGTCGATAATTAAAATAAGAACATTTGACAGTAAATACTAATCACAATGACATATTACGACCTTCAATACTCATTGGAACTGCACGAGCAGCTTTGGCATGACTTTTACGAGCACTATTACTTAAATTTCGAATATGACTTTCAATTCGTGATGTAGCTCCAAAACCAGATGTTCGTGTTTTCCGATGCTTTCGAGAAAGTGACTGGGATTGTTCTGTCTGATCATCATTTCCCTCTTCGTCATTATCCTCCCCAGTAGCATTCTCTCGAACACGCCATTTTGGTCGGATAATATAATCTTTATTTGATGGTTGAGGAACTCGGGCTCTATTAACCCATCCAGGATCGCCAGGCCTCAAAAGTCTATAATCATAAAGCAATAAATCAGAAATATTCATCGAAAATATGGTTTGTTTTAAATATAATAAAAAAACAAGATAATTAGCAGTAAAAAGGTTAGGCGATTCCGAAATAAGCACAAGGCTACTCATAATGCTTCGACAGATAATATTTTAAATTATAAAGTGTAGAACAATTAAAGATAGTAATTACCACTAACTGAACACTGAGGACAGTTATTAGTTAGTCAGAATTTTTCACAAACACGCCCTCTTTAAAACTAATTTAGAATTTTAAAGTATCATACATAAGCAGAAATAAATGTTAACTACAGAAGAAACAACGAATGATTTTCGCTATCGAAATGAGCGGTTATATAGCATAAAATTATTATCTGTATTATTCTTTACCGTACGACTAGGATTGGAAATGTGTTACTAGCAATTTATTCTGATCTTTAGCATTGTTGTATTACTTTGTTGTAGCCAGGTTTAAAGCCTTTTTTAGTCATTTTAATGTAGATTTTGTGTAGGGTTATTATTGATTTATTAAAAATCGATCTTTATCAGTATAGGGTTGTGGAGATTGTTGAGTTCTAATCGAGATAATGAATGGATCAACGTTAGACTACTATTGAAAACCTAGAAGCTTTAGACGGCCGTTTCGTTCTAGAATGGGAATTTTCAGCAGTGTGCATCCACGATCCCGCGCGCTGGACTAGAACCAAGGACCTTCGGTCTCTCGCGCAAACGCACCACTGGACCGGTATCCAACGATGTTAATGTCTAACTTCGATCGATTCATGATCTTGCGCAACTCTTCATCTATTCTCTGAGGTGGATAACTGTCTCACACTCGACATGGATTGGACTCCACTGGTCACTGAGACCGAAGGTGCTGGGTCCCCGTCTTGCGTGAGGGATCGTGGACGCGCACTGCTGAGGAATTCCATATTGAGACGAAACGGCCGTCCAAAGCTTCTAGGTTTTCAATGATGGTCTAGCTTAGATTGACTAGTGAATTCAACTTTGAAAATACTACAATCTCCACAAATCCTCAAAATTGATACTAAAATATGACTGTAGTAAAGAGGTCTTATACGCACTTATTATAAATCTAGCATACACGGTCCTTGTATAAATAAATTTACTAAGTACGATCATGGGCGAGTCGATTTTGATTCTAAATACTCACCGTAACGAGCGAATTTTCAGATCAGTAATCAGGTTTTCTGAACCCTTGAACAACGAGTTATCCAAATGATCTATGCGATGAAACTCCATTCCTTTCTTGTTGTATATATCAATTTATAAACAAAAGTGACTTGACATTAAGGTTATCAATTCATTTACACGCTTTTTATCCACGTGTAATATGTTTCAAATTATTGATAAGTTGTAGTCAGGGGATATTTATCCTGATTTTGATGGCGTTTTGTTCTCTGAGCTGGATGGTTTGGTCGTGGAGCTTTCATCGTTCTTCTGAACGACATCATCAGCACAAACTTCAGATAGAAGTGAAGTGTTCGATTTTCTCCCTATGTGTTTCACAGCTTGTTCTGTACACCTCGATGTTGATTGGTTCTTGTTGACCTTAAATTTATCATCCCATTTCTATTTGGGAATTCTCTATTAGTACTATTCTATATTGTTTCTCTTCTTGATAAACTCGAATTACCCACGATTCTACTTCCAACACAACGTACACCAGTTATGGTGATATCACTTATTGAACAAATACAGATTCGTACACTCAACTTTGAGTCATATTTTGTGTGAAGGCTAGTTATACTACCGAGATGCCCAAATTGAGGTAGGTGAAACGGAGACATCAACTCCCCTTTAACTATTAAAATAACTGACCTACAGTATCAGATATGGTGAAAGCAAACGAACTAGACTGTGACTGGTAAATATACAGTCATACTTTTAGATGATGGCAAATAACTAAAGAACGCTATGATACAATGAAAAAGCCACTGAAAGTATGCGAGGCATAAATAAAAAATTTTGATTTTAGACTTGGACTGTAAATTACTCAGTGAAATTGAAAGTAATCAGTTTTTGCCAGACAATTCCTCATGTTTGGTTACGTTCTTTAAATAATGAACGACGAAGATATTAGTGGATTGATTCTTATTTCTGATGAAGTGCAATTTTACATGATGCCTTAATTCCGTCTTTATATTGTATTAAATTACTTGCTATTACTGAGTAGTATTTACATCACAGTTATTTTTTCACTTGACACATCAATGCATTTCTTTTGATTTATTTGTTTCATATTATTTTGACAAATACTTTGAGCATTATTGGTCTTATTTACCCTGTTTAGTATTTGAACGTAGTGTGATTTCGTTTCTGAACAGAACTGTAATGAGTTCATGGTAAGTTGGGTGTTGTGTTCCTACTTAAAACAAATTTTGGAGCTTTTTAGCATTAGATTTTTTGAACGGTGCAAAGATTATAGACGATTATCCCACAAGACTAATAAGATAGCAACACTGATGAATGAAGGAATTTAATGAATATACAAGATTAATTAGTTAGTCAATAATTACGAGTCAAAATGATGTCGATTGATGCTAGAAAAAAAGATTGGTTTCACAAGGTTAATGGTGGATACGGAGGGTTCACCCAGGGAAGTTGGAAAACCCTGATTCCAAATCACTGGTTTACATGGGCTCCAGGATCCTAAGGAAATAAATGGTGCATGAACCTACTGTTGGTCACCGGCTACCATGGGACTGCATCTCCTGAAGTTGCTCCACTACCTTATGGATTAGACCTTTAGGTTAAAGGCTCGGGGTGTGGACCCCTAAAAACACCACCTGCTTCGGTTTGGGCACCCGGGCAGTATCCCAACCCTCACATAAATCAAATGGTTTATTTGACGCATATCTTCTAGGTGCTTCCTTGTACCAATGCTTATGTGTTTAAATAGATAAACAATAAGTACAAGCTTAATGAATACTGCTGATTACCAATAATATAAGCAATTATTCTACGGCGTACAAGGAGAAATAGACAAAGTCAAAATCAGAAAAACTAGAAGTGATTTTTACAGTTTTAGAACGATTCATTTGAAATGTAATTGAGTAAAGGTAAAATGTAATGGTAGAGTAATGATAATACCAACAATAGCAATGAGGAATTCTTCTTACCCTTTGGCTTCACCATCCAATTCACGGTTAATGTCCCGATGGTTGTAGGCCTCGTTACTGTAATTAAGCAAGTCAAGTGAAGTTTAATATTCTACAATATTTAACGTTTTAAACAAAGACAATATATAAAATTAAAATTCATTTTCATTGAAAACTTGGTCTACCGAAATAATCATTCTTCCATCATAATTAACGATAGAACAAGCGATCAGTGCAATCATAGTTCTAAGCTTCTGAGGAATATCTTCTTAAAAATCAATGGTGCTATATTAGACCTAAATTCTATATAATTCATGATTCAAAAACTAATAAACTGATCGAATTGGTTTTATATACTGATAAAAAACAACTATTATTTAAACATTCTATAATTAAGTGAAATTTGTTCACAGTCAATTGTGATTCTGGTAGGGATTTATTTATATCATACATATTTGATAGTTAGTCATAGTATAAAAAAAAGTTTTATTTGGATAAATCGGAACCATGGTATCTTATAAAAGAAATGCCATATATAATAATAAAATGGTTAACCATGTATGACGATGCTGGCAGAGTAAGCGTTCACAAAAGTCTGGAGACAATCAAATATATTCAGTACGAATAATTATATGAAATTTGATACAGACAACTGATGTATTCGTAGTATTGATAGCAAATTTCCCATACATTACTAATCTCGACCATCGAACTCTGATATTAAATTGATTATTCTGTTAGTGTGAGGTTCTCTATACAAATGATATGAAAAGCTAAACATTAGCCCGTTACCATACATCTGTGTCAATATAAGTTCATTCATAATTAATCTAACAGTAGACAAACATATGCAGGTTTTACCTTGCTCATGACCGACTGACTAACTAGATAAAAAGATACAAAATACATGGTCGATTCATAATACCCTTGTGCAGAAATCAGGTACAGAAACAGACAAGATAAGTGTACTTTTGTACGTTGAAAATTGCGAAATTCTCAACTAAAGTATTTCACTGAACAGCTTTGAAATTTAATGAATTCATTATTCTGAAGACCATGTGTCCTATGATTACAATATCAAATTCCATTTTTTAAACTCTATGCTACGAGAAAACTAGACACAGACAAAATTCGTAAATAAGATTATTCAATATAATCTTCAATTCGTGTAATACGATAAGGCACGTAATATAAATATTTGAATTTGCATCACTTATGAAATAGTGAACATTTTTATCATTAGTGTCAATTTATTAGACACACTATAAATGGCAATACTATTTTGACTATTTATTTCAAGTTTTTAGTTATTGAATAAAACAGGACCTGATAAATGGTTTTTATAAAATTATATTACAGAAAGACACCACTTAATAGGTACATTATTTTATAGTCAGAAGATAGCTAAACGAGACAGGTGAATGTTTCTGAATACCAACAAAGATAAATATTACCAACTATCAAATAAATTCTAAATTTAACACTTGGATTTCACTCATAAATTTGAAAATAAAAAGTCATCTCATTTGCTAATAACAGGTCGACATGTATATATGGTAGTCAGTATTTCTGTACTATATAATTATAAATTAATCCAAATAGTATTGACATCAAGATATAGTGAACACGGGATTTAAATGCCACATTACGCGCTGTTCTGTTACTTACTTACCAAGTAGAAGTTTACACATTCGGTTCTCAACAACACTTTGTTCTTATATGAGGCTTCCTAATATCACCCAGTTAATTAGACAGAAGTTAATGAAGCTGGATTCTAACCTATAACCTATTGGTTGAAAACTAAGTTTTAAACTACGAACCACCTCTTCTACGCAACTTATATACAAACTTTTGTATCAAATAGTCAATATTAGAGACTGTTGTTACATAAAGGATCAATGAACATGCTCTAAAGTGAAAAAAATATTTGTAACACAAAATATGAATGTTAACAGCGTCACTTAACGGTTTATTAGATACTTTTTTAGTAGACACATTCAACAATATGACCATGGAAATAGAACTTACTCGATGTTTCTCCGCTTAGGTAAATGTTCATAATCTAGCTGTTTACGTTCCTCCTTAGTGAGAGTTCGATAGTCACTAGTCAAGTTGAATATGGGTCGGAGCCATTCATCTACAATGAAGCACCAGATCATACACATAGAAATATGAAACAAAGATCAGCAATAAGGGAAGTATCGTGATTAGTCTACAAAAACTACACGACATAAAGTACAAACCAGGGCTATATTTACCCTCCTTTTGTGATGTTTCGCTACTAAGTAGTAACTGACAATGATGTTCATGCCGCTGACTACACTTAGTGTACAGGCTGTTTTCCAATGAAAAGTATTCTTCATGTACGGTTTTTACAGCAGGCAGAAGTGAATAATCATCATCAATCTTGTGAACATACCGGTCTGTTAACATACCGGTGTCTCACAGTTGCACCATTTTTGTTGAATATCAAACATATAAGTAATGAGAGTAATAATAATATCCAAACAGATATTCTCACATTCATTTTGTCGGCTACTGATTCTTTTTGAAGAAATTTATTTGCTTAGGATTTGAGGCTGTTCCAAGAGTATAAATTATCAATTCACCCTTCTTTGTCACAGTAACATTTCAAGTCGGGCTTAGTAGTTGTAACTTTCTGTGATTTGACAACTGCATAAAGTTGGCTTTTTACACCATACGGTCAACACCAAATTATTTATACATGAAGACCGGATGCTATTCAGTGCATAGATATACAATTCCCACCTAATTTTAACTTATAATGTGAGTATTAAGTTGTGCTGGTCCTATAATATATTCTCGTTGCTAACTTCGTAGTTTTAGTCTTAGCAAACCAGTAGATTACCGGGAAAATGTAATGCGACCAAACAATCAATTTTATACTGGTGTTTGAAATTAGGGTTTTTGTAAAGATCAGTGATACTACCCTGTTGTTCCAAAAAGGTAAAAACATGCAGTCTGATTGTTGGAAATCGGACTAATAAGTAAATGGTTTCATTCTATTTATCAGGCCATGATAAATGACCTTTAGCCTGGTTAAAAAACGTTGAGCTCTTATTTAACGGGCATTTCATTAGCTGTGGTTGAGTGGTTTGAGCGACATTGTCAAAACACGGGCAAAGGGATATTACATGTAAAAAAAACCATTCACATTTGTATGATGAGTAGAACATAATGTTGCTGTAACTCAATGCAACTGCAGATAATTAACTGGAGTTTAAGATAGTCATGAAATTTTAGGAAAACTACTCACTAATAAGTCTTCCAGCTCTATCCTTGTTTTCTCGAGTTTCTCTCGGGTGTTTGTACAAATACATCAAGGCTTTCCCGATACCGGATTCTTGAAGAACTTCAGAAGACAGTGACTGAAACTCACTGAGACTAGTCAACATAGAGTCACGAATAACGAGATTCGGGAGTGTATGACCAGGTAAAGGGGATAACCACTCAGTTATAGCGGAAAGCATTCCATTTTCTATTAAGGCGGATTTCAGGTCAGCTCGCCTAAGAATAGCTAATACTTCTTTGAGCATGTTCAGTTTCTTGGTCGCTGGTCGACTAGCTGTAAGTAACTGTCTGTCTTCATCGGCAGCACTTTTCATTCGAGAAATGGTTTCAACAATCAAATCATCACTATCATTAAGGAATTCAATATCCCTATTACGTCTACGTCTTCGTCGTGATTCTTCTTTCTTTTTTTCCATTATCCGGTCAAAGTCGGAAACGAACTCATCATCATGTTCAGACTCTTCATCCCCTTCGTTTTCTCCAGCTGTCGTGAGGGGACCTTTTTTTGTTACTAACTCACTAGATGTTTGAACTTCAACCTCCTCTTCAATACCTTTGTCCAGTTCATTTTCGGCGAAGCCCTCAAATTCTTCTTCTGCATCACTTTCGCCAAATATATCTGCTATGATGCCATCCACTTGAGATTCTGGTTGTTCATCTCTCTCAAAACCTTCGAAGTCTTCATTGAATTTACCTTGATCTTGATCATCATCATGATCTTCAAAAATGTCAGGGAAATTATTATACTGGAGTGATTCGATAGGAGAATTATGCTTAGTTGTGGGATATTTCTCTACAGAATTCACTTGAGGAGTTTCATCGACTTCCTGTTGATGAAACTCTTCCTGATCTTTTTCGCTTACAGACTCTGAGTCATCGTTGCTCTCGTGTTCGACTTCATCTTGCTGATGCACTTCACTAGAAATATTTGGATCAGTTTTCCTAGTCACATTTACATCTGATGCATGTTCACTTCCGGAATAACTCAGGGCAGGACTGGATTCGGGAGTTAAAGCTTGACTTGGAGCATAACCTGGGGTAGTGACATCCACAACAGGTTCAACGTAATATTCCCTATCGTAATCCAGATTCTCCGAAAAATGATTTTGTTCAGATTTAACGATCGAATGCTCACTCGAAGAATCAACTGGAGAATGTGGAGGATTATGAGAATAAGATAAGTGATCTTCCAGATCATCACTTAGATCGTCAGAGCCCGAATTCTAAGAATGATCATTTGGCATATTTATAACTTACTTCATCAGCTTCAGAAGGAACATATCTAGGTTTATATGATACATTTTGATTATCCACAATCCGGCTGCGAACAGGATCATAACCATCATGTTCATCACCAGACTCATCTTCAAAACTTGAATCCCTAGAACAAATAAATTAATAAATAAAATCAGAGAAAATAAACTGAAGGGTAATTATGGAGAAATTCAAATAGAATAGTGAAGAACTGAACGAACTGGCTTTCAGATGAAGAGAAATTGGGAAAAAACGCTAGGGGCGTCATGCAGTTGCAATCAATGCCCATCTTTACTTTTAGGTGGAATGGTAGCCAACCTAGAAGCTAGAGCTCGGTTCGATACTTACTAGCAACAGAAGTTGCAACCAACTTGCTGACATCAATCCTTTGGTGGCGGTCACTTCGTTGGCAACTGAAAAGTAAGGTAAGATTGGCGCAGACCAGGGCATGATCAGATAGGTACTCCAAAAGGAGCGCCAATCTTGTACACAACCACGCCAGCGGTAGCTGATCGCGATGTGATCAATCTGAGTCCAGGCCTGAGATGCAGAGGGAGGACGTCAGGTGGTACATTGGCTATGACTGTACCGAAAGTTAGTGCTAGCCAGAAACAGGTTGTGGTCTGTGCACAGTTGCAGTAGACGGTCCTCGTTATCTGTCTTGCGACCAACAAGTCCCCATCAGCCACCTAAACGACTCTCTTCTGTGCCTAGACGCTCGACCTGAGCATTCATGTCTCCGGCTAGTACTACAATATCTGTCGAACGCACTTTCTGGAGAAGAACAGTTAACTGGTGATAGAATTCATCCGGGCTGCAATCTGTCGGGACATAGGCGGAGACGACGAAAAACATCGTTTCTCACGCCGATTTCTTCTCAATTTGATGGAACTCTCTAATCTAACAGCACATAACTGACTGTTAATGGGGATTCAATCGATTAGTGCTGGCTCAGCTCTAGCGCTTAGTGCGACACCAACGCCAGCAAGACCAGACGAAGATGCTACAGGGTCCCCGGATAAACGCACGTAAAACAAGCTTTTCGAGGCAACAGATGGAGAGCGAATTTGTAGTACTTCACCAGAGTCTTGAATACGGGTCTCGGATAGGCAACAAACGTCGATATCAAGACTTTCCAAAGACATAACCAGCCCTATCTGTTGAATGGTGGTTTCAGAAAAACTGCTTCAGTATTCGTATTTGGTGGTAGCATACAATTTTCAACCAGGCAGTGATTCTAGAACGTTTAGATAGAAGTTTCCACCATGGGCGAGCTGTTGTATAAGTCGAAAAATAAGTATACACAAAGTGGAAATGAAAGAGAGTGAATAAGTGAAGTAGTAAATAATAATAATAATAATAATAATAATAATAATAATAATAATAATAATAATAATAATAATAATAATAATAATAATAATAATAATAATAATAATGTGAATTATTTGACTGTTAATCGAAGAGTTAAAAGAATTTTCAGTAAATATCATTTACATTTTATTTGTGTGTGAGCTGTGACACTGCCCGGGTGCCCATACCGAAGCAAGTAGTTTTCTTGGGGGGCCACACCCCGAGCCTTTGACCTAAAGGTTTGACCCACAAGAGAGTGGTAACCGCCCTCACATCTCTAGCAACACTCAAGACCACTGTATTCATTATCAACCTCTTCCTTCAGTCCCTATTACTCCCCCTACATCGCTTTTCAACACTAAACTTCCTCCTCAAGTGTCATCATGACCAACGATTCTAGTGCGCGAAGCACTGTCCCAGGTCTACTGAAACCTCGCTCCAAACTACGCATTGGAGCCTCAGCCACCTTGGCTGAGACTCTAGAATCTCGTACCATTGATGTATGCTGTGTCTCCGAAACACACATACAGGATCCTAGTGTGGCCATTCACTTGACCTCACCTCGCCTAAACGGAGAGCCGACGAGATACACTCTCCGTGTATCTGGCGACCTGATTGCTAGTTCTCATGGACTGGCAGGTGTGGGCACAGCAGAAAGCACGAGAGAGGAACAAGTACTATTAGAGTGGATCCCCGTTACCAGTCGTCTGTGTTGTTCGGCTTAACGGCTCCGTAAGAACTCGAAGAGACAGGAACACACGTCGTTGCCTTTTCGTCGTTTTTACCTACGATCCCACTGACTGCAGCTCGGATGAAGTTAAAGATGAATTTTACAGAGAGCTTTCTGAACTTCTTCAGAAAGCTAAACGCTCAGACATAGTACTCGTAGGAGGTGACTTTAATGCCCAAGTAGGTAGCTTAAACCAAAGAGAAAGACATTAAGGTGGGTATTTTGGTATCCCGGCTTAGAGAACAGATAATGGTGATCGTCTGCTGCAACTATGCTCAGACAATCGTTTATTTTTAGCAAACATTAATTTTAGGCATAAGGAGAGACATCGTTTGACATGGTGACCCCCTGCACCGAACAAACGATGGACTCAAATAGAGCTTATTGCCGTCAGTCATCGTTGAAGAGTGTCGATAGAAGATTGTCGCTCGTTCTGGAATACCTGCGTGGACTCGAATCATGCTCTCATACGGGCACGTATCTCCTTGCGCCTCACTGGACACAGGAAAGCCACACCAAGAAGACCCATCAGAAGTGAATTAAGTGATCAGAAAGCTGGAAATAGATTCCAGGAACAACTGAGGCCCCACTTGGGTAGTTTCAGAAACGAGGTTGACCCAGATGTTGTTTGGAAAGATATACAAACAGCTGTGGAAACAACAGTGACATCTGTTGGTGATTTAAATCAAAGGGTTACAAAGTCTATTGCACTGATGGATTCTCATAAACTCATCCCATCAGGCTCTGAACACGATGATGAGCAAAAGCAAAAGAGATGGAAAAAGCGGCGACTATAGGTAGCAGCAGACAGCACTTCAGACTCATAAAAGAAACTGGAATTAATAAGTCAAGTGTGAGACTATCTCGGAAAAAGACGACACTCTCATCTGCTCCCGGTCCAGACGTTTAGAACGATGGGCGGAACACTTTAAGGAGCAGTTCAGCTGGCCTTCAGTTACTCTACAACTACCCACCATTCCCAGACAGCGTGAATGGAACATTGAAGTAGGTCCCCCGACTCTAGATGAGGTTCAAAGGGATATAGCTAATCTGAAACGAGGAAGAGCAGCTGGACCAGATGGATTGGCTCCAGAGGTCTTTAAATATGGTTGTCCAATTTCAGCGATTAGGTTGACAAATATTTTAGCTAAATCCTGGGAGTTGGACGTTACCCCATCTGACTGGTCTCAGTTACTAATTGTCTCAATATATATGAGAAGGGGGTCAAAATCATCCTGCAATAACCATAGAGGGATTAGTTTGACTAAAATAGCATCTAAAGTACTAACCTCAACAATTATCGGGAGCCTAACAAAGACTTGTGAACCGTGAACGCGAGAAAACCAGGCTGACCTCAGATCTGGTCGTGACTGCATCGACCACATATTCACCATTCGTCAGGTTCTAGAACACCACCAACAATGGTGGTCTTTCTTGACTTAAAACCAGCATTTGATTCTGTAGACCGAGAGGTTCGGTGGCAATGTCTATCATTGAAAGGTGTACTTCAGAAGTACGTAGACCTTGTGAAGACTTTACTCGAAAACTACTAGTCGAGTCAGAGCTTATGGCGAACTGTCATCTGCTTTTGCAACCTCAAGTGGTGTCCGTCAAGGCTGTCCACTTCCTCCATTTTTATTTAACTTCATCATAGACCTACTGATGAAAATAAAATTCTCGTCGACTGAATTCTCGGGTATTGATCTCCTTCCAGGAGGTCCACTTATCGACTTAGAATACGCAGATGACATAGTCCTGTTTGCGGAAGACGCTGATAGAATGCAGTCTTCTGGTAGCACTAAGCAACAATGCCAGAATGTTTGGGATGCGCTTCTCTCCCTCCAAATGCAAGTTGTTGCTTCAGGACTGGTCTGCGTCAACACCTGAACTAAGGATAGGGAGTGAAGTGGTCGAACGCGTTGACAACTTCACTTATCTTGGAAGTCTGATCAGCCCTAATGGGTTGGTGTCTGACGAAATCTCAGCAGGGGTTCGAAAAGCTCGTTTGGCTTTTGCCAACTTACGTCACCTTTGGCGGAGGCGAGATATCCGTCTATCAATAAAAGGACGAGTATACTGCGCGGCAGTTCGTTCTGTTTTAATTTACGGCAGCGAGACATGGGCCTTAAGAGTAGAAGACACCCGTAAGCTACTAGTATTTGACCACAGATGCCTTGGAAATATTGCTGGCGTCTGCTGGGATCACCGGGTAAGTAATAGTGAGGTTAGACGCAGGGTATTAGGGAATGGTGGTAAATCAGTTGATGAGGTTGTGAATCTTCATCGACTGAGATGGTTGAGCCACGTGTTATATATGCCTGAACACCGATCACCACGATGCGCAATGCTAACCGGTGTTGGAAATGGTTGGAAGAAAGTTAGGGGCGGCCAAATCGAAACGTGGCATCAGTTCCTGAAGTCACTAACATCTATTCTAAGCCATGTTGGTAGATGCAGACTACTTGGTTGCGGTCCGCGTAACTATCGTAACCAATAGTTGGACACTCTGTGTGACATGGCTCAGAATTTATCACAATGGCGTGGGTGTATACACTCTCTGTCTTCCCTTAAACTATGAGATTAAAGTTATTTCATATATTTTCTTTCTACGGTGTTCGTCTTGCTGTGTTACTGAGGTGTGGCAACTTGGACCGATGCATGTATGTGCCTGGTCCTACGTTGTAACTGACTGCATGATTATTATGACCAATAGTTTGGGGCTTGAAGTGACATGCCTCGAAATCGTTTGCAATGCATATACTTTTTATCCTACCTTAGATACTAAGATTCTAAGTTCCTTGTACACTGTTCTCTATTTTACGAATTTACATTTCCTCCTTCAATCGTATTTCCGATATCTAATTGTTTATATTATTACTAGTACTGTTAACACATTTACTATTCTGGAATTTGTCCTAATAATTTTATCTCGTGCTAATGGTGTAAGGCAACTTGGACCGATATACACATGTCCCAGGTTCCAAGTTGCGCATGACTGGCTGGTACTGAACCCGGCAAGGTCGATTTACCATTAACTCTGTAAAATAAGGCTGACCAGTGCACTGCATAAGTGTTGTATGTGGCTTGATGAAGCAGTGGATTTGTAAGCATATTTATTTACATTATTAACCATCTGTAAGATTAATAAGTATGGATAACATGAAGCTAACAGGATATATCTCTCTCTGGTCTAATAAACGTTAAGCTCAATATACAAAAGTGGTTGACAAGTGACAAAAAACGTATAAAATCAAAACATATCAAAACTCTATAAAGAAACGGACTACCAGCTTGAGTTATTCCAGTCAGTCATGATTAATATGCAGCCTAGAACAAACGTACATCACGAGTTGCCATACAAAACCGTCAAATACGGTGTAGGTATAATGGCAAGTATTACTTTACTTACGCCTGTTACTCCCAATGGAGCATAGGCCGCTGACCAGCATTCTCCAACCCACTCTATCCTGGGCCTTCTTTTCTAGTTCCATCCAATTCTTGTTCGTTCTTCTCATTTCTGTCTCCATTTCTCGGCGTAATGTGTTCGTCGGTCTTCCTCTTTACCCTTGATCTTGAGGATTCCACGTGAGGGCTTGCCTTGTGACACAGTTGGGTGCCTTCCTCAATGTGTGTCCTATCCACTTCCAGCGCTTCTTCTTGATTTCTTCCTCCACTGGTATCTGGTTTGTTCTCACCCACAGTAGGTTGTTGCTAATAGTGTCCGGCCAACGGATCCGAAGTATTTTGCATAGACAGCTGTTAATAAACACTTGTATCTTCTGGATGATGGCTTTCGTAGTTCTCCAGGTTTCCTCCTCATACAGTAGAACTGTCTTGACATTTGTATTGAAAATCCTGACCATGATGTTGGTTGACAGTTGCTTTGAGTTCCAGATGTTCCTCAGTTGTAAATATGCTGCTCTTGCTTTGCCGATCCGCGCCTTCACATCTGCATCAGATCCACCCTGTTCATCAATGATGCTGCCCAAATACGTAAAGATTTTTACATCTTCCAAATCTTCTCCGTCAATTTTGATTGGATTGGTGCATTCTGTGTTGTATCGGAGAATCCTGCTTTTCCCTTTGTGTATATTGAGACCTACTGCTGCTGAGGCTGCTGCCACACTGTTCGTCTTCTCCTGCATTTGTTGTTGCGTTTGGGATAGAAGGGCCAGATCGTCTGCGAAGTTTAGATCATCCAACTGCATCTTAGATGTCCATTGTATCCCGTGCTTTCCTTCAGACGTTGACGTTTTCATGATCCAGTCGATCACCAGGAGAAAGAGAAAGGGTGAGAGTAAGCAACCTTGCCTAACACCGGTATTCACTTTGAACGACTTTGTCAACTGTCCTCCATGCACGATTTTGCAGTGTAATCCACCATATGAGTTCTGTATGATATTGACTATCTTCTGAGGCACGCCGTAGTGTCGAAGAAGTTTCCATAGTGTTGTTCTGTCCACGCTATCAAATGCCTTTTCGTAGTCAATGAAGTTGATGCAGAGTGATGAATTCCATTCAATTGATTGTTCCACAATTATCCGTAGAGTTGCGATTTGGTCTGTACACGATCTATCCTTACGGAATCCTGCCTGTTGGTCACGAAGTTGGGCGTCTAATAATGGCAAGTATACGTCAGAAAAAATAAAGCCACCATTAGAAATTTTGTCAACCACGTTTTCTTACTTCACTATGTTATTCTCATTTGATCCTCGTTGAAACGAATTAAATATTACAGTAAGGGAATTTTCATGTTAAGCTAATTGAAAGATCTACCTTCAACCCGAAAGGCTTAATTAATCATGTTTTTTCGATAAGCCAGACCCAGTGTCATCTAAGTATTAGGTTCTAATGACCCAACAACCAATGAAATTGACGCACCAGAGCTAACCCGTAACTCACACCAAGAATAGTCTAGGTTATGGTTTAGTAGAAATCTTTGAAATCAACCTAGTTCGTACTTGTGAATCATAAACTACAGGATATAAAGAAAAATACTTGACTTTTTCCAGTACTCACTAAGGTTATGGAATCTTTGATCCATGATCGACAAGCAATTGTCTACTGTAAAAAAATTTTTACAAACCAACCGCATGGTTTCAGAAAGGACTGCCATTGAATTAAAAGGTCTGATGGGAGCGATGGATAACTGGACAAGAATAATTGTTACTAATTTTCGAGTTATAGAATACCCTAGTGAGGTTAGATGTTAGGGGTTCTGCTCTGTTAATTTACATGAACGACCCTCTGAAATACTTCCTTTTGTCAATTTAGAACTTTAGAGAGAAGTACACACCCAGAAGAGTAAGTTAACTCAAACTCGATTTCAAAGTTAGCTGAACAACGGATCAACCTTTAATTCTGAAGTGTAAACTGGTCTGTGTGCAGCATGATGCAGAAAACACATACAGTTTGAACAGTTATTGTCATTAGTAAAGATTTATACATATCGACCCGCTATGATGCGAAACTACGTGTCAGATGTAGTGAAATTGTCTTTTGAGTCAACATTATACAAGTAACTCTGAAATGCATTTTTGACTAGTTTGACGGTAGAAATTCCTATCCTCCATTCAGTAAATGGACAGTCGTTTCTACTAATGTAAAGAGGATAAGAACAATGTATCGAAAACAAGCTCGGAGATTATTCACAAAAGCAGTTCGTGGTCTCAGGTTTATATCCTGCAATGAGCGACTGAAGTCAGACAGTCAGCGACAACGTAGGGTCAGGCACATATGTGCATCGGTTCAAGTTGCCACACCTCATTAGCACAAGATGAACACCGGGTTCATAGAAGCAGTTAATTCAGTGGTGGTAATATATAAGAGAAAGATTGCATTTAAGGATATAGTAAAGGAAGAGAAAATTAGATTGTAGAAAGAAAGATATGAGGTGATTCTAATCCCATAGTTTAAGGGAAGATAAAGAGTGTATACACCCACGCCATTGTGGTTGATTCGGAGTCATGTCACACAGTCTCCAACTATTGGTTACGATAGTTACGCGGACCGCAACCAAGTAGTCTGCATCTACCAACATGGCTCAGAATAGACGTTGGTGACTTCAAGCACTAATTGAAAGAACTGAATCAAAACGGCTCAGGATATAAGAAACTTAAATGCAACTTAATGACTTAGAACCTTAAGGACACTGAAGGTAACATTAAAGGTCCCAAATTTGGGACACACGTTCATTCTCAACAACAAGCTGAGAGCCAAGCATTGGTTGAATTGTAAGCATGTTCATAACTTACAACTCCCTACTGTTCAAAGTGGCCTAATTAACTACGCAGAACATCTGGTATCCCCTTAAGGTTTATTTACTAATATTTTTTATCTTGGGTTGTATTCATATACTTAAGGGGCATCACTGACCTACTACCACAAAATACAGAAGCATGTCAGGAGAAGTGTTATAAGTGCAGATAGTAAGTACATTAGCTACAAATGAAAGTACTCACTCCATCAGCATGACAGTGATAGAACTTTAAAGACTAACTAGCAGCTTAGCCGTAGGCCGATGGACTTAGAAGCGACCTTGACGTCAGCCAATCAACAACTGAAACCCATGTGACCCCGATTTTGAACGGCAATACGTTCGCAATGTTTAAAATGTTCAATGAGTTTGTCCTGTTGCGCACTTTCGATCACTTTTCCTTTCATCCACTCAATGAGTGTTTGATACTACGGCTGTAATTTTCAGCGAAGATCACTGGGTCTTCGATACATTTTTATGCCGGTGACGTTCAAATTTGTCGAGAAATAACAGAAGATGAAAATACATGTCCACCTAAGGCTGAATTAGACGTTCTAGTTAACTAGTCCATAACTGAGTTGATGTCCATCAACACAGCAAGATGTTTCCACACGCAGACAAATGTTTATAAGGATATAAGGGTGTCGGTGCCTTCAGTCTTGTTTCACAACGATCTAGAATTAACCGGGAACGACGATCCTAAAACCATGGCTCACTTTCGTGTGGATGCACTTCGAGGGTTTGGAAGCCGTCGAACTTTTAAACGGGCACAAGTATGTTCACTACAGAATACACAATATTAGATCCAAACTTGGAAATGCGTTCAGGATGAAAGCTCCCGTTTACAATGTGATTCAGATATCTTAGAAAAATACTAAGGCCAGCTACCCGTGCGATGCCAAAATTCTGATGGCTACCGGATACAAAGTTACCAGATAAGTTAAATATATCTACTCCGTCCTACTTCCGATTAAGGGGTGGTCTAATTTTGACGTATTAAATACTAAGGAGTGTTTCCGGACCTAATATGTTTAAACGTCAAGGAGAAGCAAATCTTCTGTGGCACACGAGTTTCACAGTATGTCACCAACTCTTGAAACTTGTAACAGCCCATCCCGAGTAGTTGTGTCCACAACTTCAATTAACTAATCCATTGGAAAAGTCGGAAGCTCACAGGAGCTTACTGGAAGAGGCCTAACACAAAATCTCGCTTTTATGTCCTCAAGCGTCTGTTGGTATTCACCGCATTCTGTTATGCACAATAAGAGTGACTCACTTTAAGAAGCCTGAAATTTTGTGTTTGCCGCTGTCCTGGGGTGGAACTTACTGAAAAAATACCAAAAACGAGGAGCCCTAGAGACCCGTTTTTTCTATGTTTGAGACTTCTTAAAAGCTCCTTAGGTTTTAATGTCAAGGGTCGACTGTATTCTACTACTAAGTTAGTCAGCCAGACAGCATGATTTTCTTTGTATTGTTCTTGGTGATAAGATTTCTAACTCCGGAAAATTATTTACTTTAGAGATTTTGGGTTCGATTGTTCTTTTCACGTACTTATCATCGATGGGTAAACCCTAACATAGTATTTTGATTTCATTGCTGTCACTGAGATTTTCTCAGCGCTTACAAGCTAACGACTTACTTGATGTCAAGAGTTGTAGGTGATCATACCACTATCAGAAAACGAAACTACTAGACGATACACGGTTAACGAACCTGCCAAAATAGTATCATGTTGCCTAATACTTATTTATATGTTTTATTATACTTTCGAAATCTATGAAGTCGTGTATCCTAATTTTTAGGTTTGGTTTCGTTATTCTGTAACCCAACACCTCATTTCTGGAACAAGTTTTATATTCAATATATTATATATTTTACCTAATGGTTAGTTCTCCAGATATCGCCTGCTGTTTATCGGTTTCCTTCTAGACTTACTCTTACCACAAATTTTCGGTTACGACCAAAATTGACAAATGCCTCCGAGTAAATAAGAGGGTTCAGATGCATTATTTTCAAGTTTGATGAATCTGGGCGACATCTATCTCTTTTGTCCAACACACAGATTCTAAACCTAGGTGTTCTATCCTGTCATACCGATCAGTGCTTCTTCCTTATTTTATTGGTCACGGTGGTAGCTGTGTTACCTAAGTCTCTGACTGCGAATTCGCGAATGGTTCATCTGTGACATCCTGCTTAGAAACAAAACGAGGGATGGCCCTGATTATTCCAAATTTACAGAGTCCTTCGATATTAATAACTCTTCTTGGTTTCTCTCGTCACACTATGCTGAAAAGTTATTGGAATGTGACAGTCCTATTCAGTCGACGTCATGAGTGTTATAAAGTATGTCCTATGTTGCCATTCATAATGAAAAATTAAGTATGTGGGCTATGTTCGCAGACTAAGAATACATAGACCCCTAATTTCATAATAATATATCCGAAGAATTAGTGAAGCTATCTTCATTTATATGACCTGATGGACTAAAAATTATTCTTAATTTTCAATAGTTGAGATCGTGAGTCGATTGAAGCTACTACTGAAATTACTACAATCTCCACAAAACCCCTTCTGATACTAATCAACATATGCTCACTAGTGACTGGCTTCAATAGGTATTTCCTGCACTTCTAGTGAGAAGCAGTGACCAGTGGACATCAACCGGGTCACTTGTGAGATAGTAACTCACTGATGACAATGGTGGATGTGTCACTCGATTTCGTGGGTTAGTTGAAGTTAGACATTAACATGGTTGGATGCTGGCTCGGTGGTCTGAAGGTTAAGTGTTCGCGCACGAGACCGACAGGTCGTAGGTTGGAATCTCGCCAGGTGGTATCGTGGATATGCATTTCTGAGGAGTCCCACAATAGGACGAAACGGCCGTCCAGTGCTTCAAGGTTCTTCATGGTGTTCATTATTTGTTTGCTTGTTTATTTCTATATGTCACCAATTTACTGATTGTACAAATACAGTAATATATCTTCCTGATTCAAATTTACTTTAAATAAATATTATTTAGAAATTTCACTGGTTGAAATAATCAGTCAACTGAAGCTAGACCACCATGGAAAACCTGGAAGCACTGGACGACCGTTTCGTCCTAGTATGGAACAATGATTGTAAGCTTTTTATCAAAATTTCTGAATACATCATGTGGTTATCATAAATAATAGTTGGTTAAGCACCTGGCGCGAGTCTGATAGGTCCTAGATTTGAATCCCGCGGGGTGGGATCGTGGATGCGCTCTACTGAGGAGCCCTACACTAGGACGAAACTGCCGTCCAGTGCATGCAGGTTTTACATGGTGGTTTAGCTTCAATTGACTCATGATCTCAACTATTGAAATTCTAATTTTGTGCATACTGTGAAATGGGATTCTAAAAGGGATATTAAAACTATCCAGAGTGTGTGCTGTAAGATATGAGTTTAAGGTACTATTTTACGTGTTTTGGTGAGAATATCTCCCATTCATAAGACTGTGACAGTGAAATTTCGGAACGCAAAAGTGTGGAAAACAGAGTGCATCGTGGACTTCCCTATCGCAAACATTCCTCACATTCTGACTATTGCACATGATTTTGAGTAGAATTACATCTAAAATCGACTGTCACTGAGCTGTCGATGAAGAGAAATCCCACATCATAATTTATGAGTGTGGATATCACCACAGTTACAAACTGGAGGCAAATGAATTTAGTCAAACAACTGCTATTCTAGTTCCACGTATATTCATCCCTATATTTTAGTTTACTCCAAACTTATACTTCACCCTCATTCAACAAAAACCTTCAACTCCACAATATTGAAAGCTGAAGTTCTAAACAAACGAATGGTGGTGTGTTTCCATTAGTAGATCATTCACTATCTAAGAGCTGCCCCTTCACTATGCAATTGTAAAAAAGACCCAAAGTTTTGCAGACCTAGGTTTGGGATGTTCAGATGATCTATACTTTCATAAATATGTTACCAAAATATGTAGGTGGAGGTGAATATTGGGGTGAATAATTCAAAACATACAGCTCAGTGTTGCATCTGGTTCCGTATCTAGTTTTCATTGCTAAAAGACCCAATCGTTGGATAACTGGCTAATTACACAAACATATTTTGAGCGGTCAAGAATGGTGAAGATATTGGATAAGTAGCTAGTTTGAACCATTCGATATAGGAATGAGACAAGTTCAGAAGAATTGCAGCTCTGGAATTATTGATTTTGTTTGCTTATATAGAGATTTTGGTGGAGGTTCGTTTTTAGAGAGAAAAATAGGTATTCTTATTCTAAACGTTGTTTCCTTTCAGACAGATCATGCAGTTTAATCCCGTCGACTTCTTGAATTTTCTAATCTATGTCGATGTAAGCCATCTACCCGATGATCATATGCTTCTTGCATTTTGCCAAGATGTTGGGACGGGCAGGCATACGAATTCTGTCTGAAGCCAAAATCCCGTTTAATAGTGGACAGTTAATGGGATGGCTAAGGGATTACTTAGTAAGACTATGAGAAGCTGTCTGATTCTGCTCGGAGTCGTTTATCCGGTTTATTGGGAAGAGCTGAATACCATGAGGTCCCATCCCCGTGTCGCTCCTCCCGTTAGTTTTTAAAGATCTCCATATTACCTAAATTTATCAAATCTTGCTATATGAAAAAGATCTTAATATGCGAAGAAAGATAGTGTTATATGGAAATCTTGACCATTAAATTGTCATGATTAAAATAAGAGAATTAACAAACGAATTAAAGAAACTCTCAAAGTGACCTTGAGAAACCCCTGAACATAATCAATCATTCAAAAGGCAACAAATATGAAGGGCTACACAAAATATATTATTTTTACATGAACTTGAACTTCTAACATCCAGACCACTGAACCACCATTCAACGGCGTTAGTACCAGCTTGAACCAGTCCACAATAATGCACGGCTAATAGGTACAGTGGACTTCATATTTGATCTGCATAATACTGTACCAGACTATTACAGGTTTATTACAACTGCTAGTCACTTCAGTAAAATTGTAATTTCAATTTCAGTGAAATAATGGAAAGGTCTAATTCTGGTGTTAATTCAATACTATTTTTACTTTGTAGCGGTAAATAAATCCCCAAAATAAATAGCTCTAAGTTTTCGACATTGGATGCTGACCATATGTTTTAGTGGACTCATCTAGCTGAAGGCGCTCGGTCAGGCATCCGCACCAGATCACGTGTGGTAACGCCGTGCTCAACATCAACCGCAATCGCTAGCCAGAATAGATCATAGAATTCCGATATATTGGTCATCGCCAAATATACTCTTCCGATCTCCTCGACTCTGTCTTTTGATTTCTCTGGGTGGGAA